AGGACCCAAGGTCCAAGAGAAAATGATTGAGAGAGGCAAACGGATGAATTACCAGTATGTGCAACCGAAGCAGTAGAATTTGAGTTCTGATAATTCTGATACCACCTGAGAAAATCATCGTAGTTTGGCGTAATGTTCTGAGGAGTAGCCATGAGTATCAGATCTGGAATAGTTGCAAGGTAGCGAGTGGGGCGGTGAAAAAAAAAATCGATGGGATCGACCAGATCGGAAGAGGCGCTTTTGCTGGTAGGGTTAGTTTGTCGGAAGGTGGCCGGAAACAGTAGCGGCGGCGGCGGATGGCGGCGGCAGTCCGGTGGTGATCGGAGAAATTCGAAAACTGATGTCGAAATGAATCACGGCAGTGTAGGGAAGGCAAACCGGAGTTATGACACGGTTTGCCAAAAATTTCTCACCGAACGATAGTGGGTCAACCAGGTAAAGCACGATGAAGGGTTGTCTCTCAGTAGGCTCTGATACCATGTTAAAATACGAGAGACTAAGAGACATTCGAATAAACCGTGTGTCTGAATAGCACAACGGAAAATGCATTATATAGGAGAAAATACAAATCCTAGTATTAATTACATAGATATCCTATCATATTTTAGAATACACCGAAAAATATTCTAAGAAATATTCTAGTGAATATTCTCTTTATATATATTATACATATATAATTATCAACAATGAAATTAGTGTGAAATGAGAACACATAAATGCTCTTAGGTTTAAGTTTCAATATGATGGAATATAGAACCAAGAAGGAACATTGGACTATAACTGAAATCAAATCCGACAATAATAGGGGGGTGTGGGGGAGGAAACATACCGAGATCAATAACTGAAAAACCTTTGTCCCCATCATCCCAAGCTTCAAGCACATTAAGTTGTCGAAGACTGGAATCATAATAAGAAACTCCTATTCTGTAAAGAGGATTTGACAACTGATCAAACAAAGCACACACTGATATACCTTTTATAGTTATCGAACCATTTTTTACCCATCACTCCGCATATTACAATTTATATATTACTTTTAGTTATCAATATTTCCGAAACAGTTAGCCACTCAACTCAACTACCTTCCTGCAATATAACTCTTCACACAATTTCACTCCCAATGCATTGAAATTATCATTTGATTTTTCCATCAAACCAATTTATTATAAATTGTTTGACAATTTCTAGCAACAGATATTTGAGTAAATAAAAGAAGCTTACCTATTACCATTTTGTATGCAGGCCATGTAAACCTACATACATAAATAAATCAATTAAGAACTGAGATTGCATTCAAGCAAATCTATTAATTTAAGTAAAAGGATTACAAAAACTAAAGTATTGAAGCTGATGAGTTATTTATGCATAACCTCTAAGAAATTATAATTGAAAACAGCTGGTTAAAGTATCAGTCAAATAAATATTCAACAAACAAAAACTAAAAGCCCTTTCTCACTAGGTTAACAAAATATTCAGAACTAACCTAACCTAATTTTTTACTCACTAGTTTAGTCTGTATTTGATTATAGTCATCTGTGATATACCTATGACATTGTTATCATAAAGTTCCCTGATCAAACAAGTATTTAATTTGTTATATTTACATATGGTAACATAAAAAATTAAACATATAAAAATACTTCTTATTAAAAACTCAATTTACATTTTAGTACATAACTTTGTTCAACACAAAGACGGTAAGAATACTCATAAGTTTAAGCGTACGTTTGGTTATGCGGCGAAAAAAATTGGTTCTGAGTGAATTGATTTTGTAAAATTGATTTTAACTAAAAGTGAGTCGAACATGAAGTGATTTATGTTTGGATAATTTTTATAAGTGAGTTGAACAATAAATTTCAGTGTAAAAATCACGTTTAAACTCAAAAGCACCAAATCATAATTTCAAATAGAATCAATTCTGCAATGCATAACCAATTCTACTTAAGAGCAATCAAACATGACTAAAGCAATTCTATAGAGTCAATTCAGAGTGCTTCAACCGTGAAATCAAAGATACACTAAATAAAACATGTAATCAAATATCAAAGTGCTGATTATTTGGAGATATAAACCTAATGAATAAGCATAACCAGTAATAGTATCATCTAACAATATCGATTCTAGTTTCAATTTCAGTTCATCAATTTAAACGAACAAAGAGTGTTATCTACAAATGAACCGTTCGTTTTTCCAGTTTCTGTATAAAAACGCAATAAACTCGTAACCGCAGCAAGCAATGGCGCCAAATTCAGTTTTAATTTAACCTCGATGATCTAAAACACGATTCGTGTTGTTCCGTTGTGTGTTTGTTAAGAGAAAGTAAACGAAATTGAAGAACAATCAAAGGAGTTAATTAGTTTGTAGAAATTTTTCTCTTTTTCTGCGCGGTGAGAGAGGAAAATTTTGAAGAAAAAGTTGCGTAAGGGATGGACCTGAGGAACGTCGTCGATCTCATCCATGTCCTCCTCCATTTCCAGCGATCTTGTTTCTGAGCTAGCGAGTAAAATGTGAACTGAAAATCTGAATCGGAGAAAGTGACGAGGGTTTTAGCGGGGAAATTTCAAATTTGGAGAATCTCGGGTTTATATTGGGGTGAAAATCTGCATTCGACCTCATGTGATACGGTGTCGTTTGGAGCTTTTGCAGATAAGTTTGTTCAAATAAACATGAACCGAATTGAATCATCCAAATGAACTTTAGATTAAAAAAATTAAATTATTATGTTTGATCAGTGAATCAAACTATATTATATAAATAATTCTAAAACCGCGTCAAAACTGAAATCAAATTGAACTAAAACCGAAACCGAATTGAACTAAAATTGAAAATAAAAAGTATTAAAAATAAGTTTTAATTTTTTTAAATAGTTAATGGTTCGATTCTTTTATAAATAGTTCGGTTCGGAAAAATTGTTTTCTAATGATTCGGTGCGGTTCGGAATTTTGAAACAATATAACAAATTAATAATTTTGGTTAAGTTCGATTTTAAATAAATTGAAACGGTTTGATTCAATTCGAATGCACTTAAACTATGATTTGTTTCGGTTCGGTTTGGTTTTCTCATAAAACCATACCGTGAACAATCCTATTTGCAAATATGGTTTATCTTAATTTTAATTTAGGCAAAATACCATTTTTAGTCCCTTAAATTTACCGTCCACGTTAGTCCTTTCTGTTCAATTTTCATAAACTCCGTCAACTTTTGCTTGAGTGGCATCCTACATGTCCATTACTAAATTTCATGTATTATTTTATTTTCGTTTTTATTTATTTTTATCTTAAACAATTTCTAAAATTAAAAGAAGGTCAATACTAAAAAATTTCCACACCCAAGAATTAAACACTGGTTTGCAAGGTTGTTGGTCATTGTGTGCTACCACTCAGCCACTTCACATATATTGATTCAGTGTTCATTGACAAAACCAAACAACATCAATTAATGCAACTTAACAAAATCCAACAACAACAACATCATCAGTTCCAGAAAACAAAAAATGAAAATGTGAAACGAAATCGAACAAATTAAGTGTGAAACGAAAACGAAATCGAACAAACAAAATTGAAATTGAAAATGTGAAACGAATTTCCATTACATCATAGCAAGTGTTTTGCCCTCTTTAAACCATTTGAGTTGTACTGTAACATTTTACCATTACAGTTGTTTTTGCATACATTTCTCCAAGAACAGATCTGAAAGGTACAACCCATTTATTCCACTTCTTGAAAAATGCTATGGCGTTGTTCATCTTCCTCAATGACAAAAGTCATTGTAATTCCACCTATTTGGAACACAACCGCAGCCACTGTCGTCGTTATCATCAGGAATTTGGGAACATCATCTCTTTGATTTGGAATAAATAATTTCTATCCCTAAACCCTTAGCCCCAATTTGTATGTATAGAACAAATTGATTTGAAATAATCGAAAATAAAATAACTAAGTAGTAATAAAAATAATAATAAACTTAGATCTATTAGTCTATTATCATTGTTGGGGAATTTCAATCTTGAAAAGAAACGGCTACTTGACTTTGTATTGTTTGACGAATTACAAGTGCAAACAAAGTACTTGTGACTGACTTTAACGAACTACAAATTTATGGGTAAATGTTTGATTGTTTGTGTTGAGAGAATGATGGAAATAGTGTAATGAGAGAAAGAATTTAGACAATAAAGTCAAATCATTATGTAACAAGTACAAACAACAACATAGTAGTCTAATGGTTTGATATGTTGTCTAGCAATCAAGTGTACCTATATTAAAATCATGTCTAAAATTAAAAAATTAAAAAATTTTGTGTATTAAATGACCTCACATGTCACGCGTATGACTAACTGGATGAGAAGGACCACGTCAGATGCCACCTAAGTAAAAGTTAACGTCGTTTCAAAAAATTGAAAGGAAAGAAGTAACGTAGACAACTTTTTAAAGATAAGAAATCATAATAGACCCTGAGATAAACTTATGGGACCAAAAAAGATATTTTACCTTTAATTTATTTATCTATCTTATGAGAAAAGTTTATGTTTTGAAAAAAAAAAAACAGTTTTCCCTTCTGCTCCAACCTATCGGCACTTGGATGGTTTCACAAGTCAATATTACAATTGTTTCTATTTCCATACTATAGGGTCATGCTAACGACTTCTCCAAAGGTACTGGATAACATTTTGTTTCAAATCTTAATTTTTCTTTATATTTTGTTCCATTGAATCATCACATACTGCGGTTACGAAATCACGCCTTCTCGTCTTCTCTCTCTTTCCACTTCTCTCTTCCTCTTCCTTTCTTGTCTCTTTCGTTATCATGTGTGAAATCAATTTGGAGTATTTGAGGAGGCTTTCGAGATCATTGACACGAGGACATGTTGTGAAGACGGTTGTGAGAATGAAAGGAGCTTCTCGGCGCTCATAGCTTGAACTTCGAAGGTGTAGTTGATCGGAGAGAGGTCGAAGACGGTGTATATTTGTCCGGGGAAAATCCATGCTTTCTTTGCAAGCTTGATGTCTTTGATTCCAACTCCGGTGATCACAAGGTACTATGATGCTTTTGGAACGTTATACATATTGTTGAATTTTATTTGATTTTTGAAAACCTAGACTTTTGTGTTCGGTTTCTTTGTGGTAGATTTGCGGTTGCAACAACGTGTTAACCCTAACATCGTTCCCAATAAAAATCTCTTCAAATCTCTTCAAATCACAACATTTGATTTCGCCGGTCTAGACAGTTTTAATTCACAGCAGTGGTTATTCATCATTCTCATCGAGTTTTGGTGTTATCGTTTGCCGTCCAGTTTTTCGATAGCGGGTTTAGGGGCAGTTTTTTTTAGTCATATTGGACTGTAGATCATAAGTTCATGGTCATGCAAATAGAATATCATCGTATCATGAGTAAAACTAAACTCCTTTAAAATGAATAAAATGTTTTGAGTTAATCAATTTATTATGTCGTCTGATTAATTCCTATATTATTTTATTTGTTGTGTTTTGGTTTGAAGGGTCACCTACTCTCACTTCAGAACTTCAATTATCTTCAATTGAACCATGGTTGGTTGCAGGCAGGTTATGTTGACCATCCATCTATTTCTGGTTTTGAATCATCCGACCATGGACATAACTTATCAGTTTTAATGACAGCAACAATATATGCAGCATGAAATCTTCTTATTGGTAAGCTTCTCTCTTATGGATATTATATATATCACCAAACGGGAAGCTTATATTTCAAAATTTGAATGGGGTGATTGCATATGTTATAAGTTTTAACTTATTTTTGTTAAAGGGAGCAGCTGGGAGTTTGTTGGGTTCAACACTGATTCGGACGAGTCTGTTATCAGTCTCATATGGAAGTGAGTTGCAGAGTTCTACCCCAAGTTCAGACCAAATGAAATAAAGAGAGTGAAGATAAGAATCATATAGGTAGATAAGAATAATATGTAGGGTCATGCTACATATTTTCTACTCTTTTTCTATCAAAATATGTGTTTGTCATAACCTAATTGATTGATTAAATATGATGATTTTCTGCTACTTGACTGTGATAATTATGTTTCATAAATTGTTATACAGGTGTTTAATGATAGTGACATTTGTTTAGTTGGATCAAGTTACTATTAATAATGTTTTATAATGTTTAATAATGTTTGGTTATAGACTCTTTGACTTGAAACAATGAAGTGAAGAAGTGGAAAAAAATCAGAGGTAAGCTTTGAAAACAAAAGTTGATTTTGAGTGACTTATTAATAGGTTGATGATTTTTGTTCAATTTCATTTTATTGTAGGCTTTTGGCCTTTTATTGTGGTGAAAAATGGCTTAATATTAAGCCTAAGGTGAATGATTTTAGTGAAGATGAAGTTGATACTGAAACTGAGAGTGAACATGATGGTATGAAATTGATTATATATTCTATTTACTTTTTTCCCTGTGATTATTTAAATTAACCTCTTGAGTTGATTCTTGATACTGTTGTCATTTGTTGAGGGATTGCACTGGTATTCAGTGTGTTAAATTGGAGTTACATCATTCACAGTATTATGGAGAATCCTGATAAAAAACGATAGTGGGCTTGGTCAGGAAGATAGAAAGCAGACTTTAACAAACTATCAATTTGGCCCTTTTGCGCCAGCCTTCGTATCCAAATCCAAAACCTTTGAGAATACTAAAGTGAAGCAGGTGCATGATTGGGAGAGTCTAGCTATTGAACATTCCCCTCAGCAAGAATGTGTGGATGCAATGCTGCTGGGATTACCTGAAAATGCATTTATTTGCCTAAAAAATTTTGGACATGTTGATGTGAAATAAGTTGCTTTTTGTGTAACTTGTAATCACACTTTTGCTTTTGTTGTAACTTCTAAATCTTTGGTGAGCATGAGAATCTACAGTTTATCTTCCTTGAATAAAAATTTGATATGTGACTTCTAAATGTGATCAACAAATATTTTATACTTTTTCTCTTCATTTTTTTATCGTAAATGTTTATGACTCAAATTAGTATTTTTCAAATATTTATGCTTCTAAAGATTAACATCTCTTTATTCCACCATCTCACCTGCATATTCCATCGTACCTACACTAAATATCTCATTAATATGCATATACATTGTGTCCCACTCTAATGTTCATTGTCTTTTTTCATTTTTCATCTTAACTATAGCACTTTCTACATTCTGTATTTTTCTCTGATTTTTCTTGGTTCTTTTTTTCATATGCTGCTTTGAATGGTATATATATATATATATATATATATATATATATATATATATATATATATATATATATATATATATATATATATATATATATATATATATATATATATATATATATATATATATATATATATATATATATATTCATTTTATTAACAGTCTGTGTACCATGTATTTACAGCATACGAGAGACTATGCAAATTGGAGGGTATATTTCCATCGCTAGAGGCCTCATATGCCTTTGTTATACTTGGTTCAGGTGTTGTTTTGTTTTGCATAACCATGTAGTGGAGAGGTGTTTAGGATCGATTTCAGATCGGTTTTAATTGTTATTCCATATGCTTTTTGTCTCTGCATAAATACTTGTATTGCGTTTTATCGAATAGTCTGCAACAGACTTTTTTTATTCGACTTAAACCATTTGTGGCGTTTTAAATATTTTTCTACCAGGTCAGTATGCCTCTTCTGTATAGGTTGTGGAAGGATTTATGTGGTTTAACTCTTAACAGCAATATCACCATGGTTTGGCTTGGCTTGTGGTTTGACTTGCCTTTTACTAAGTAGCTTGATTCCTTAATAGTGGTTTCACGTATTCTTTAACTCCACTGTGATACGGTGGGAGAACTGACTTGAGGTTTTGCGTTTGTGTTTGAAAATGTTGCAGTTTAGCAAGAGTTGCCATCGACTTTTCTTTTATCCAAAAAAGAAAGGTGAAAAACACAAGAAAGACCTTTAGAGATGTTTTCTTGAGTTCGGGAGTAGATTATGAAAAGGGAAGGTATTAGCACCATTTTCATCCATGGTTTTTCATGGGCTCTTAGTTACTCGCTAGATCACTTGTTTTTGTTTGAAAATGTGTTTTGTGTGGTTTTTTGAAAGTATTTTGAAAATGTGTCATCGCTTAGGCAAACTTTGCAATGATTCTCGTTCGTAAGAATGCATACAAAGTGTTGAGCTTTTGAAAATATTATAAGGTTTGGAAAATGTTTTTTAAGTTGTTTTGAAAGTGCATGTGATTGTTTTTGAAAATAACAGGGATGTTTATTTTGAAATTGAGCAAGCAACTAAAAGTAATCTACCTACTCAAAAGGTCTTAGATATGATTTTCCTCCTCCTTTAGATGTTTCTACCTTACCATTGATTTGGCAAGAAGCCCCATCGTTGGATGTGAAGGGAGGGGCGTTGGGTCATCGTATGACCATGATAGCAATATTGTGAGATGACTTAGCACTTTTTCTGTAGGGACTAAGATCATTTTGAAATGCAACTTTGATAGCGTCATCGAGGGATTATGATCTTGTATTTTTTTGATTTGTTTGTGCTAAGACATCCCACATGCATAACATGACCATTTTTGTAAGGCAACAAGTGAGATTAACCTTAAGGGTGAATAATGTTTGATTTGCATGCATTTGTCTTTGATTTTTGGTGGTCTACTTATTGGTTTTACCTCGTCATACACACCTAATTACTATACAGTATAAGAAAAACAATAAATTGCAGAAATGTAAAGACCTACACTATTACAATATTTAGGGGATGGGGATACATATGTACGAATGGGGATTGCAAGTAAAAATAAGTCCTAAGTTATTATTACAACCATATTGAAATGCATAACATAAGGAAGAAATGGACTTGTTTAGAAAATGTTTTGGTCTTTTGTTTTAAGAAATAAAATAAAGTGTGAAGGAAAAACTTTTGACGTTTGTTGATTAATGGAATGGAGAGTGATAACAAATATAAAAAAAGGAAAAAAGAATCAGCGTGTTGCTAATAAAAATGAAGTCAGAGGTTCTGACCCTGGCACGCTGCAAAACAGAAACCTGTTAGTGAAAATGTATAAGGTCAGAAGTTCTGAACCCACTGGGAACACAATAGTTTTCAGAAGTTCTGATACCACTGACAACAAAACAAGCTTCAAAAGTTCTGATACTACTGGCAACTAAACAGGCTTCAGAAGTTCTGAAACCACTAGCAATAAAACAAGCTTCAGAAGTTCTGATACCACTGGCAGAACTTGGTCTCTCTCTCTCTCTCTCTCTCTCTCTCTTTCTCTCTCTCTCTCTCTCTATCTATCTATCTATCTCTCTCTATGCTAGTCCGAACATCTGTAATTTGGTTATTTCTCCACAAAATATAAGACATGCATAGAACATTTATAGCAGGTGTCATAGCGTTTTAGAAATAGGAAATATCAGAACTATAAATCAGAGGCACGTATGAATTTGCTAATCCCAATTCTGAGTTTTAATTCCTTCAAGAGGTTCTGAACTGATTTATTTCTTACTTAGGCAGACAGAAGGCATGAAATCTCAGAATATGTATGACACCAAAAACATGATATCTACATTGTATCTGAGCGTGTAAATCTGGTAATGCTTAAGTAATGTGGTGGGGGTCAACAGAAACTTACCTTGCAGCTGGAAGAAGTTCTGTGAACCAGAGTTAATCTCAACTCTGATGAAGCTCTGAACAGCTTCTTCACGTACTCAGTAAGCTGGAAGTTTTCAACTTCTGGGGATGACAAAGAGATGATGTTCTGATTTCTTTGAGTGGATGGAAAGTGTATAGCAATATGAACACAGAAGTTTAGGCAGTTTCCAACGTGTGGATCAGAAACTGTGTGAATGTTTTTTAGTCAAGAAATAATTGAGAACAAGTGGAGTTTTGAATGTAAGAAATCAAAAGTTAATGAGGTTTTATGTGTTGTGTTTACAGTTCTTGGAACTCTTGGAATTTTGGCAGGGATTCAAGGCGTTTCTTTCTCAAAATGTTGACCTCTTTCACAAATTTTCCTGGCCCTTCTTAGTGACCAATGGTGTTTTATTTATAGGCAAAATTTTGTGTGTTTGAAATGTCAAGTAGCGCCAACATCATACGTGTGATAGTTGACAGTTTTTAGTTCAGACTGGATTAGCAAGCAGGGATTAAGGAAAAGTGAACCCACAAGCAAAAAGGTAGCGCATGGACCTTTACCTAATTATGTATAAAAGTATTTCTATACTACACGTGGAGAGATCCTTTGGACAAAGACTCAAAAGTGGTTGTGAGCATTAATGAGCATTAAATGATGATGAGATTTGTCAAAATCAGAAATCCTGTAATGTGATATTTTGCATCATTGCTTAATTCTGGATCAGAAGTTCCATTTCACCGTAGTCTAGAACAAAACCCCTACTTCTGATCTTAGTATCCTGTTGTCTCAGCATACTCTGAAGGATTCCCCAGGTTTTCCAGTAACCTTCTTTGATTTACCTTTGAAAACTCTGGATTAGAAGTTCTACTTTAGCGTAGCATCCAATCTTCTGATCCTCTTACCTTCTGGCTCCAGCATGTTCTGAAGGAGCTTTCAGGCTTCGTATTACGCTTTATTATCTTCTTTGCATTACTCTAGCAAACTCTGACTGAACTAACGTAGATGTTAAAGAGTCATGTTTTGACTGAAGACTATGTGTTGAACCATATTTACAACTTCTGACTGCACCTGCCTGGAGGCTGGCTCAGAAGTTCTGAAGTGTCATTTTTCTTAAATACTTAGAAAAAATCCCAAGTATTTAGAAATTTGGCTTTTCCATAGTAAATTTAGCTTTTGAACTTTTTAATGATACAAACTTCATATTCCAACATGTTTTGATGAAATATGATTTTAGAGATTTGATTCTGATTCAAAAGTCAAAGTTTGACCTTTTAATGTGAAAATGACTATTTTTCCCTTGCAGACGACTTTCTTGAAAATTTGTAATTCAAAGCTCGGGATTGGATGGAAGTAAACCTGAGGATCAAGGGTGATTTCTTGAGAAAATGAGAGGGCAAATTTTAGGGTATAACAGTTGCCCCTGTTCAATCTTCTTTAACCTGAAGAGTTAGATTGGCGAGATTTGCCATTCGTGACTTGAAGGTGGAAGATGATTGGACACTAGAGTGTCCAAAAAATTGCACTTCACGGCGATAGGAGGAATGGGCTTAAAGATGCCATTTAGAGAGGTGATAGAATCTTGTTGGAGATGGGCTTGTAGATGCCACCCAAGAATGCTTGTTGAGATGTAATCTGTAAGTTTAACATCAGAATGGCATTCGTGTCTGGAGTCTATTTGTATTGAGTCTGAATGAGTATTAGAATGGCTTCTGTGTCTGGAGCATATCTGGACTGTATCAAAAGTTGAGTCTGAATGAGTATCAGAATGGCTTCCATGTCTGGAGCGTATCCGAACTGTATCAAAAGTTGAATCTGAATGAGTATCAGAATGGCTTCTGGGTCTGGAGCATATCTGAACTGTATCAAAAGTTGAATCAGAATGAGTATCAGAATGGCTTCCGGGTCTGGAGCGTATCTTAACTGTATCAAAAGTTGAATCTGAATGAGTATTAGAATGGCTTCTGGGTCTGGAGCGTATCCGAACTGTATCAAAAGTTGAATCTGAATGAGTATCAGAATGACTTTCGAGTCTGGAGCGTATCCAAACTGTATCAAAAGTTGAATCTAAATGAGTATCAGAATGGCTTCCGGGTCTGGAGCGTATCCGAACTGTATCAAAAGTTGAATCTGAATGAGTATCAGAGTGGCTTCTGGGTTAGGAGCGTATCCGAACT